TCTTTCCCTTCTTTTGCATGTTCACAAAACTTACTATGCTCTGTAACGAAGAGGATTCCTCCTTCAGACATTCATAAGCAATTTTGGTTAGGCTGAACTTCCCCGATAGCAATCCACAGCTTAATCCTCCCTTAGTTCTTCCCTTGCTGAACACAGTATCACACACAGTATCTGTTTGTTCAAGTAGTTTCCACACAATGGTGTAAGAATCCACTGCAAACATTTTCAGACTAAGCGGATAAGGACCGAAGGTGTAAAATATCTGTACCTCTTTGAATTATTTCTCACTTGTTCCATAAAGCTTCATTTGTATTACTGAAGTTAAGACAGCATGTTTCCTTGATATAGTATCATCTGAAATAAAGATCCTCCAACTTTGGAATTTGCTCCTGTTCCCTGAGCTTTCAGTCCATGGACGGTTGCTGGTACACTACTGTGTAGACTTACCCATATATTGAAACTATGAATTTAAACATGGAATAATCAAGAAAAATAGGGCTAAATTTAATAGGGCAAGGATAGTTAATTTGATGTCTTGGTAACAGTGAATTATGCTAATGATAAAGAACATTACATTTCTGCACGTTTTGGATTATAAATAAAAACATACCAATACTAACAGAAAAATTTTGTATATGCTGTCATAATACATTTTACATTAAACAAAAAAGAAAAATATTTAAAATGCTTTATTACCTTTGCTGCAGTTATAGTGTGCTCAGGTTTAATTATTTTACTTTTGTTCTCAAAAGCATTTGTCCTGGCTGCTTCTGCTAGCCGATGGAGAAACAGTAAGAAGTTCAAATGTACCTTTAAAGAAGGTAAGGAGAAAAAAAAAATCAAGAAGGACTCAAACTGATTGAACACAGTTTGGTTTTTTTAAAGCTTCATTGTTTGAGACAGAGGATTCACATATTAGGCTGCTTCCAAATTCCTGAAAGGTGTTCTCAGGAAAACAAAGTACCACTCAGTTCAAGACTTAATAAATTCCCAAGAAATTCCTTACTGCAAGACTCTTGTAAATACAGTTTTCATTTAGTATACTTAAATCGTAAAGGTGCTCTACAAACGATCATACAAACAACTGATATAAGAGAAATGAAATTGATTTTTATTAGCAGTTTTTTATAATAAAATGTAAACATAAATATCAGAGAATAAGGAGGAGTCTTTTTGCTTGCTAGTAAATATAGTCAGCTTTCAGTGACTACAATGGCCAGACTTTTAATGAACAGCAAATTCATCCCTGCCTTATCACCAAATGGACCATAGACAAGTTCAAGGACTTCTGCCTCTTTCCAGTGAAAAGGAGCATTGACATTAATTTCTCCAGACCAAGAAACTCTCCAATGTCAGGAGGTTCCATCCATTTTTTCCCAGCTCATCACTTACTTAACCTTTTTAAATGAAAAGGACCAATAGGGCAGTATTCCGTTCGATACAGAACGCTGCTCTGCTAGTACAGAAGCAGCAAAAATTTCAGCAGACAAGGAACTGCTCCAACTTGGTCTAAACACTACCAGCCAAAAGCACCCCTGTGTAATAAGGGACCTATAATACAAATCTCTAGCATTATACAGGCATTATGTGAACTATTTTAATAGTCCAACCTGAAAATTGGTAATTGCACCTTTTGTAAATTAAACTTTCAAACAATATTAACTTTGCTATGTAAAGTGTACAAAAATACTTCTTAAATCAAGAGCTCAGAAAAATATTACTGAAATATATGAAAATTTTATTTATATGAATTAGGCGATATACTTATTCTGCCATACCTGATCTGCAAAGCCTAGAAAGATATAACAAGGAAAGTTACAAGTTAGAGCTTATAGGAAATACTTTGGCAGTGGATTTGCAGCACAAACAATCTGTTAGAGGACATGCATTTCAGTGTTCACATGACAAGAAACTTAGTTGTTTTTTTTTAATCTCCTGAACTAAATGAAGCCAGTGTGCAATAGATAAATTTACATAATATTTGGCATCATTTGGAAGCATCTGCTACACAAAAAGCAGATGTTCTTGCAGATTTATTCAGCAAAATATCAAAGCCATTTTTAAACTAGTCTTTAGTTATTCACACAGAAATAATCTCCGACAGAATCAAGCAGAGGCACTAAAATAGTGTTTAACTTTAGAACTCTCATTATTAAGCTTATCAACATGGATGTTAGATTTCTGGAAACAGCCTGGAGGAGAAGAGGGAGGTGGAACAAAAGCTTCCACGTTTGCAAGTCCTCCTGCTGGGATACCCAAAGGTAAAAGTGTTAATTTTAAAACTGCCTTTAAAAACTGCATCTTGTCTCAGAATCACTGTACCTTTATTTTCCTATTTTCAAAGTGAATTGCTACATGTGGAGAAGCTTCCCCTGAACTCCTATAGATTTAAACATAATCACATAACTAAAATCAGAACATTGCACAATAGAGCACACATGTTAATAAATATTCCAGATTATTCAAGGCAACAGAGAAAGGCTAACGAAAGGCAGAATGACTGAATATCATGAATGGGACAGTTACTGAGAAGTACCTAAGTGGTACCACATTTGTTTAAAGATACTGCTTTACTACGTATTAGATTATTGTCCCTCCACATAAAATTTAAAAACAGTTTTGAACTACTCGTGAAACCCACCTTACACAACAGAATGCTTAGTTCCTATAAAAGAAAGGTTGTAAATTTTTAAGAGTGTATGTAAAAACTCACAACACTGCTTGCAACTTCCACACACCTGTTCAACAGAACTAATGAATACTGGGGAGAAGCTCCATAATTTTCTTTTGCTGCCATAACTTCAGAACAATTCTTTAGACTGATAATTTGCCTTCAATAGCCTTATTTGTCATTCTATGCCGATAACTAAGAAAAAGGGGTCATTCAATGCAGTACTTTAAGCTTCTTCTGCAATGTAAATACAAACCTGCTCTTCTAGCATAAAACAAGCAGCTGAGTTCCTGCTTTTCTTCTGTAATTTCAAACTAGAACAGTTTGCAGCTTTTTCTTCTCAGACCATCGAGGGGGGAATATCTGAACTTCAGTCCCAAAATCTTTACCTCTTATTTTCAAAAAGGTAAATAATTGAGTACTAAGAGCATTGGAAAAACCTTAAACACTATTCCTATCTCTTCACCTACAGACATTATAACACTCCTTCAAAAAGCAGCTTCTTGAGAAAGTTTGATGAAATTTGTTAGCTACGCTATACACAGAGAAAGATGTTAGCACTTAGGAAATAGGTTCTGACAAAGCTTCAGATTTCAAAAAGAGACTTGATCGAAAGAATCTGAAAAGTGAAGAAGAAACTCCATTCAGGTATTTAACAAAATTGTCTGAATTCTTACATCTTCCAAACTTATTACTTAATGAACACATAGACAACATTGGTTTATCGAGGAAAAATAATCGCTGGAAGTCAGGAAAAGGAAAACAATCTGATTATGTCACAAGCCAGGTAGGCAGACCTTCTCACTGGACTGGCCAAGTACCACAGTAGATTCAAACATAAAGCCTGGATCATTCAGGAAGCTAGCCCAGAAACTGAACTAGCCAATTCTCCTATTTCCCTGCAGAAGACACAAGCACTCTTCTCAAAATTTATATGGTTTTGTCTTGTTAAGACAGTTACTATATAAATTTCTAAAGTATGCAATCCAATCACTCTTACGAGGTTTGTAGGAAGTAAGAGACACTAAAAAACATACTCTCAAAAGTTTTTACTTGGTTAACTGCAGGACTAAACCCCCCTCCCCCCCCCCCCTTTTTTTTTAAAATAAAGCAAAACTCCAGATGTGTTGATTATTTATTCATAGAAATAAAGAGCTAAAGAGCTGTTAGTCACATGCCTAGATGAAGAACATCATGGACAATCACCACCCCTGGTCATTCCTGTTCAAAGATAAAACAAAAAAGCCAAGCCTCCTTACATTAAAGGCCATTTAATTTCGCATCACCAGAAGAGAGAATCTAAGCTTCCACATTATTAAAATTCGTTCTCATCTCATCCTTTGTGTTGGAATGAGTATTTGCATAGCCATATTTTAAGCTAGATCAGATTGTTGTTGTTCATTAGTTTCAGTCAATTCAATTCAATGGTTGTCTTTGCAGCCCACAGAATATTAGTGCCAGGACAAGAAGATGATGAGAACCAATGGCCAATATTTGGAGGGATGTCCCACTTCCCCTTTTCAGACAGCTGCACTACCGCCAAATTAACATGACCATGGAAACACAGACCAACTGTTACTAACAACTACAAAACATTTTATTAGTGTTTGCATAAGTTTGATTAGTTGACTACTGCATTCCAGAGTAAGCTTTGAATGGGTCTGATGATGAGTAGCAAGGGGCCAGGTCCTTAGTCCATCAAATATTCCAAGGATAGCAAAAGCGGTAGGAAGATATCATATTTTTATTACACCAATTAGAAAAAATACGTATTGCTTACATTCAAATGTAAATCCTCTCGTGCAACTACTACATTCCTTGATATTAATCTTATTATATATTTTTTAATTTCGCATATTTATATTTAGCTTCATGTATCCAGATACCAACCTTCAAGATGCTGCAAAACACAACTTTTATATACATGAAACGCAGACTTACAATTCAAGTCAGAGACCATACTAGTATACAGTATACATTAATGCTCTGAGAATCACACACACATTTGAAAACAAGGGGGCATGACAGTCAAGGAAGCTAAGCCTATTATGTCACTTCAAAGAATTTTTTTTTAATGCACAGATTTATTTATTTTTTCAGTATGGCAGCTACCACAAGCTCTCTTCAGGTCAGGTTTCCTTGCTGTAGTAGAGTAATTTCTTGGTGAGACAAACCCTTCCTGTACCACAAATCCCTTACTGCAGGTCATAAGGAATCCAGCTTTGTTAGCCTCAGTTTTCTGAAACTTGTTCAATATGGGTCTGTTATCCCTATAGCTTTATGGCAGGTGTTTTTAAACCATGAACAGGATCCCAACACCTTACTCTCCTCATTACATTACTAACAAGACTTATCAATCCTTAGTTTTGGACAGAGATTACTTAGATGGCCTTCCACAAAAATACGATTGTTCAAGATGCCTTAACAGCTTAACAACTCGTTAATCACAATTCAGCTCATTGGTATCTGGATACCAAAACTGCTCTACATAAACAACAAACATCTGCATGTTACACCACATAATCCAAATTCCTATTTCTCAGTCCATCTACATCAAACTCTGAACAGCAGTGTGTACATGTAGTGACACAATGCACCAGCCTGTCCCTGAATCCCCAAACTCACTGTCCAAAATCTACAATACACTAGCTACCAGTAAAGCAGAAAGCTGCAATTACTACTTGTTAGTATTTTATTAGACTAACCAACCGTTTATCTCCCCAAAAACTTTGCCTCCCCTCTGCCTGTAGGTCACTGCAGAAACACCATTAATTGTAACTTGACATCCCATTACACCCAGCAACTCCGAAGTGCTCCTGTGCACACAATCCATCGGTCCGTGTCTTTCAAGCAATAAAACATTTAAAGACAAAGTGTCCCCATTTAGGGACACCTGCCCC